GAATGGGGATGAAGAAGCTCAGCATTGTTTGTTTGTGTGTTGTGTAGGATGCGGAAACAAGCGGAGCGGTGGGGAGCAGAGTTGTACCAAGAAGATGTTGAGTCTATTGATGTCAAAACTAGACCTTTTACTGTCGAGAGCAGTGAACGTAAGGTGATATATTGTTTTGCACAAGTTCTGTTCTTAGGCATTTGTAACTTTCAAATGCTTGTACAATACTACACTTTTCACTGATTTTAATTGGCTTCTTTTGAACTTCTTGAGATGGTCTTTCTGCGGTGTCAAAAGTGATACTAATTGCTAGATGAATGTGATTTTTCCTAAAAGAACCTAGATTTAAATTGAATTCGTTTAATTTCACTTACAATTCAAGCTATGAATGTCATTCATTTTATAGAAGGGACAATGGGCCTAAAATAATGCATGCATGCCTAAAGAAGTATGTTCTGATTCTTCTGAAAAAAAAAAAGTGTGTAAAATTTTTGATAGCATGTTATATATAACATGCATTTAAGGACAGCTTCAAATATGGACAGCTGTGATGGGTATTGGCTGAACAATGCACATGTTTATTGATCAACGGCTGATAGATCAGCTTCCATATTTTCATTCAGTCCGCTAGATTGGTTGATAGATAGATAGGATTTATAAGTTCCGAAGTTTTATCAGTATTATTGGATACAGCTTTTCATGACTTTATTGATTTCATAACTTTGGCCCTTAGATTCTTTTTTTCTTTGTCTCTAATTTACAATGTGTCTCTTTCCACTATGGTAACCTGCACATTTTGATTGTGTGCTGAATGATAATCATTTGTTCTACTTATTATCTGGTTCTTAATTTTGCATTTTCATTTCAGGTTAAGTGCAACAGTCTAATTTTTGCCACAGGAGCTACTGCAAAACGGCTCAGGATTCCCCGTGAAGATGAATTTTGGAGTAGGGGAATTAGTGCTTGTGCAATTTGTGATGGAGCATCACCATTGTTTAAGGGCCAAGTTCTTGCTGTGGTTGGAGGGGGTGATACAGCTACAGAGGAAGCTTTATACCTCACGAAATATGCTCGTCATATTCATCTACTTGTGCGTAGAGATCAACTAAGGGCTTCTAGAGCAATGCAAGACAGGTTAGTGTTAACTAAACTTTTCTTAACATTGATATTCTGATGTTATGGGAAATCATCTAAATTCCACTTGTATGGTTGGTCACTGCGAATTACTTAGACATGTGTGCACACCACTAATATATTAAAGTGAGTTGTTTGTTTGTTGTGCTTCCTTTCTCATCTAATTACATTTCTTTTCCTCTGTGTCTTGTGTCTGATGGTTGAATATGTATCGTAGTAACCATTTTAATAAAATTCTAGTTTTTTCATCCAGGAACATTATATTTGTTCATTCAAATTTAAGCGGAGCGGAATTTTTCTTAAATTACATACTCATCAATATTTTGATTGTCCCTCTACTTCCATATGCACATTGGTACTTTTCACAAGAAAAAGAAATGTGTTGAATAATTAGTGAGTGTAATGTAGTTTACCATCTCAAGTGCTATCTGTCTGATGATAAAATGCCTGTGATAGGTCTAATCAGTTGAGGTAGTTTCTAATAGTTTTGGAAAAGGGCCTGAAGATCTGTTTATGAAAGTTGTTATTCATTTATTCTTGTTATAAGCTTTTTTCTTCTGTTTCCATCAAGCTTGTTTACATCTATTTTCTTTTTGATTTAGGAAATAATTCATGTTAGAACAGAGCTGTTTTTTTGTTCAGGAGTAGAAAAGAAATGCTTTATAATTTTCAATAATTCATGTCGAAAATTTTCCATTGTAGCTGTGTATTATCTACACAATGCCAATATTTTATAGCTCAGCCGCAATGGGATGTGCAGTTATTAGCAGTAGCATGGTCATTGTTCTTTTAGGCCATTCCTCAATGCTTAGCCATGGCCAAAAGTTCATCTCAGGATACTTATTTTTGTTTTATAGATTCTGATTGGCTGGCTTGGTGATGATGGAGTTAACACTAATGTATGTGTGAGTTTTCAACTCCCTAAATGTTTGTTTAACAGGTTGCTTATCGCGAATGTTTCAGAGTGTACAACAATCCAAATATCACCTTGCACTTCAACACAGAGGCTGTGGACATCATTAGCAATACGAAGGGGCAGATGTCTGGAATTTTAATTCGAAAACTTGATAGTGGGGAGGAATCCGTGATTGAAGCAAAGGGGTTATTTTATGGTATTGGTCATTCGCCAAATAGCCGGTTGTTGGAAGGCCAAGTTGAACTTGACAGCTCTGGCTATGTCTTAGTAGAGGAGGGCACTGCAAAAACTTCAGTTGAAGGTGTATTCGCCGCTGGAGATGTACAGGTAATCCGACCAAAACTTAACCTTTTTATATTTATACAATTTGTAAAATCGCTCTGGACCTTTCAGGACCTATGTTTTCTGTATGCCTCACTTTAGGCTGTAGCTTCATTGTACATACAGATATTGTACTTTAAGGTCAATGATGACAAACTGAAATCAGTATATATAATTTGGTTGTTGGATATACTGAAGAATTTAGTAGAACTTGTAGGATCAATCGGGAAATATGCTATAACTTGACTGAAACTGGTGCATGCTACAATGTGCTTTAACTTTTAGTGTGTATGCTATAATTCTGATAGTATGAAATTCATGAAGAAACATAGTGATTGAGTTTCACCAGAAATTCCATATGTTGGCTGTTATATTCATTTTAGAACTGTGACCAGCATCATGAAAGGTGATGCCTACCTATTATGTGTTCTTTAACAACAAAAAAGTTATGAATTATTAAGCGCATCAGTTAGGCGTGTTTGAAAGGGTGTTTTTTCTCCATTGGGTTCATTTGTGCTGCATTACATCCACTGTACATGCTTGGCATGAAGCAATTATATAGCTATTCAAATTGAAACCCGTGGTCTGCAGTCCAAGAAAAGAAAAAAAAAAGAAAAAAGATCAAACCTATTTTTGTCACGCAAATTTGTTATATATTTGCAAAACTCATCAATTATACTATTTGTAATCCCTTGTCCTGTACCTGAATAGGACCATGAATGGAGGCAAGCCGTAACTGCAGCAGGGTCCGGATGCATTGCCGCTTTATCAGTTGAGAGATATCTTGTGGGCAAGGATCTCATTATTGAGTTTCACCAGGTAGATAACTTGTATTGAAGTTTAACTTTATCTTTTCCATGTTTTATCTGCTGGATGATGTTACTGTGTTCAGAGGTATGTATATGACACTCATACTATTAGACCTTTACTTGCTTAATGTCGTCTGGCTGTAATATAAATTTCTGATTAAACATCATCATTTTCATTTAAATTATTGTATGATTAAAAAGTCCACTGCACAATTCCATGTCTACTTAATTTCTTCCACCATTGTTTTTAGCAATTATACATATATTACTGAAATTAATTGTGACATTATCGCCCAAAATAAAGATTGACTAAAACTGTGTTGCTTTTATTTTTTCCTGCTGAGGAATTAATCCAATAACTCTTTATTTTCTTGGGAAATTCAATTGTAATAGTCTTTGATATCAGTGTTCATGAAAACCATCCTTCTCATCTATTTACATTTGACAGCCCGTTACTGAAGAGGCTAAGAAGGAACCCTCAAGCAGGGATGTTCAAGAAGGGTTTGACATTACTCTTACAAAGCACCGTGGCCAGGCATGTGATCTTTTGCCTATTTGCTAGCATGATCTGATGAGTTCACATATTATCTAATGGAAAGAGTTTTATTTATTTATTGTAGAACTTTTAGTAGTTATATTCCGAGTTCAAGTTATAATGACTTTTCTTGTCTTTGCATTTCAGTATGCCCTACGAAAATTGTATCATGAAAGTCCAAGGCTTATATGTGTATTATATACAGCACCAACATGTGGCCCATGTAGGACTTTGAAGCCAATTCTTAGTACGGTAAGTTCTGTAGTTCAGTTCTTGGTGGTGCACTTTTACTTGGGAAAGAGAAGTTTGTCTGCCCTTTAACATTTTCAGTGACAGCATGTCTGTCATTGATTCACCAAATATCTCACTAATTGAGGATGTGCTTTACTTTGTCTAATGTCAGGTGATAGATGAATTCGACCATAATGTACATTTTGTTGAAATTGATATTGAGGAAGATCCGGAAGTAGCAGAAGCAGCTGGAATTATGGGTACACCATGTGTTCAGTTCTTCAAAAATAAGGAAATGATCAGGTTGGTCAAAAATTTTGTTCATGCATGCATATTGTTGTATGGTCTTCTTGTTTAGGCCATGGAGTTCTTGCTACCTACCATTGCTTTAATTTTCTTATAGTTTGCATAAACTGATTTCTTATTTCCTGTAGTGATTTTTCGGTTGTATGAGGTATGAAGTGTTTTATATGCCTATCTTCTTTTATTTCGCTTTAATCCCGAGATTTGGAAGATTTGAAAATGAGAATTTCTGTTTAGTGGAAAGGCATGACTGTTACCTTTGCTAGGTGACAGCTTATGTTCAGGCCCTTCTCAATATTCATGTTGCCACATATAATTTGCATCTACATGGTTTCTGGATGTTCGTGACCCTAATTGTTCGATGCTTGTTTGTAGGACTGTATCGGGGGTCAAAATGAAAAGCGAGTATAGACAATTTATTCAAGCAAACAAATGAGAAGGTTCAAGATTCTAGTTTGCCTGATGTCCTCATTTTGTGGTGCAATTTTGTTCTTCACAAACAGGCTAGTTGAGTAAGGCCTTCATTTTACACAGTATTGTAGCTTGTATTGATCAACTACATTGTAGATTACCATACATGCCGAGTTGCCAATGCATCGTTACGGAATTTGATTTTCCGATCTTGTATTTCCATCCATTGTAATCTTAGTAGGGTTTAGCATCTTTTACATTACGAAGTATGAACTCACAAGTCCCATCTTTCAATTTCTCAATGCGAAATTGCTCTTTTGGCTAATATTTATTTTCTTATAGTTCACAATGAGAAATTAATAAACCTTCATTTTAATTTGTTCACCCTTATTCTTATACAAAGTAAGTTAACAAAAAGCGAAGAAAAAAAAAAAGCGAAGTGATTCTCACTGTTGTCTCCTCATACTCTCCTCGCCTTTCTTTATTGTTTGGAATCTCGAGCTGGATAAATCGAAGAAGAATCAAGAGAATGAGTGAACGAGAAAACGGCAATGTGAAAATCGCTAGCCAAAAGAAAAAGATGTCAATCACACTATGGAAGTGGTGATCCAAGACCCTCTTGAGAAGATAATGGATGAAGAGTTGTGTGTCTCTTGGAATAGGAGACAAATTGCTCCTTCTTCAATGAGCCTCTCTTGGGATGGTGTTGGAAGGTTACTTTTGCAAAGAGTTTATGTATAGACAATGAGGCTCTCTCCTTGTACTTGAGCACCAAGTAAAAGATGACTTTGACACAAAGTAACAAGCATGCCAAAGCAGCCAAATCCCACCATTTGGAAACCTCAGGGTTTATCCCATACAAGTGAAGGAGTACATCCTCACCCTTCAGCTTTGGATCTCCAACCACTAGAGGGTCAAATTCCAGCCCAATCATGTCATTCTTGTACTGACCCTGTAGTTGAGTTGTGTTTGGAAAGGATTTAGATTTTGCTAAGGTTAGTCACTCATGCACACGTGAGCAATTTCTGATTGTTAATTGCACACATGAACAATCAGGAACCATTCATGTGCACTACTGACCATAGCATCTTGGAAATATTTACTACTTCGTACCAGTATTGACCATGCTGCATAGCTGAGGTATGACATGGGATATCGCCAAAAAAAATTTGGTAGGTCAACAATCCTCCGGAAAAGAAGAGATGGCATCATCATGAATACCTTGTGTACAAAAAATATTAGAAAATAATTGATATCTCTAGCATTACTTGACGGGAAAATTAATTTCTCTAGCAGTATCCAAAACTCGTTATGATTTTGACTGGGAGACATGAATCGAGGTATGGCTTACCATTATGCCGGCTGCAGCTCCTATGGCCATCAAGAGGTTGGGAACCACTGCTGCCGCAATTAAAGCGGTTCCTTCTGTGACAGCAATGCAGCAGAAGAGATTGATGCAAAAATACAAGTAATGAGAGATTCCCGTGTGAAATTTGACCATGTGGTATAGTATTGTTCCAGAAGAGAACGCCATGCCAACCACGAAAGGGAGTGAGGAGAGGAAATTGGAGAGCACAAACAAAGCTTCGCCATAATGCCCGCCAAGTCTTTCCCGCCTAAATACCTGCATGGGATTTTAAAAAGACGGGATTAAATTTTATTGGGTAGTGTTCTCTAACCAGACTTATGTTGTCACAGAGTAGAACTGATCGCGTTATTACTGTTTCCGATTCACAGTCTAACAACATAAGATATATCGTCCAGTAAGAGAACATTTCACAATTAACATTACTAGTTTCCATAAGAATTCATCGGTCTCTACCTTTAGTTCTTCAATAACGAAGGGTATGCCTCCAATAGACAAGCAGATCATTAAACCATAAATGAAACCATCACACTTTCCTCTTGCAATAATTGCTTGATTGTTCGTTCCAATGTGGAAAAAGAAGGAGCCAGCACTCACTGCAATTAGTATGTAGAACACACTCCTTAACCAATAGTACCCAATATCTCTAGACATGTTTATTGAAGATCGACTGATCAATGTGCATAGCTCCTTCCACCAGATGGCACTACTTCCCTTGTTTGATTTTTCTGCCGGTTTTTCCTGCGATGTTAAGAGTGGTTATACATGGTCAGGAACTAGTATATATGAGTCATAATATAAAAGACGAAATGCACGTTCCTACAGTCTTTCAGTAATTAACTTCCATATATTCTGCTTAACAGGTATGCCGTTCTTCTATTTAGTTTGAATTAAGTACAGCATACAGTGAGCAAGATTTCTCGGATCCTTTTTCTTGCATCTGTTGATAATGCGGACGACTTGTACGCATTGATTAGCTTTCCTTTGATCTCATCTGTTGTCAGGTTGTTTTGGGAACTTAAAGAATCTGTAGATGCCTGTCAAGAAAATAACCAAAACATTTCAACTCACGAAAAATTAAACCTTTTTATAGAAAAAGAAAGAAAAGGGTGCACACACATAATTAATCCCTTGAGATAGCATAAGAGCTGCTAGAACTTTGTCAAAGTCTGAACTGATGCATCGAAGGAAGTGGTCTGGAGGATTTTTTCGTGTTGGGCAAGGAAATCCGGCATCAGCGAAGAACTGAAGTATAAGACTATAAAACCATTAGCAAGCAATCATTCTAAGGCCGAGAATGTATTAGTGTTCATGTCGATCAATATCTTACAAAGGAAATGCAGGGTTCAGAATACGGCCATATATTTTGCTTCTCCAATGTAATCAATAAATTTACCTTTACAGCCATATTTGCTTCTCCAAAATAAACAGTTTCACCTCCTGCTAAGAGGAGCAGGTCGTCGAAGAGATTGAAGACATCGATACTAGGTTGGTGAATGGAGCAAATGACTATTCTTCCGTCACGAGCAATGTTTCTCAGTGCCCATATCACAAAGAAAGAGGAAGCACTGTCGAGGCCGCTGGTGGGTTCATCAAGCAGCAACACATGAGGCTTTGTAAGTACTTCAATACATATGCTGAGTCTCCTCTTTTCTCCATTACTTATGCCTCTCAAATGCCAGTTTCCGATGTTACTTCCAGCGCAATCTTGAAGCCCCATTTTTGTGATAGTGTTTTCTACCACCTCATTCTTCTCCTCTTTGGTCATTTTACAAGGGAGCCTTATATAAGCTGAATATGTTAGGGTTTCTCTGACTGTGAGTGATCCCAGGAAAAAACCCTCTTGAGTTACATATGACTGAAATATTGCAGGCATACAAAAATTAACACACATTATTTGGGTCTTTAATTCATATAATTATAAGAACAAAACTTGCAGGTCATATGTTCATTTGAAGGATGTCCTAAGTTACACTCACAATATCTGTGCAGTTTCTGCTTCTTTTGTTCCCATTCAGTACAACATCCCCAGACATTTTGAAATTTGCTGGAAGCCTCCCTGATAATATCCAAGGGAAACATTACAGGCATATGAGGAAATTTTTACAGAATATTACAATCAGTTCAAACTTCTGGGCATAATTTATTATCTGTAAGGATTAAGAGCAGACCTGAGGCTTAAAAATTGTGCTTGACGCCCAGTTTATAGAGTTGGGTCAGCCTAGTGTACTCACAAATTCGGTTAGACCGGATCAACAATGATGATCCACGAAGTTTTGTTTTAGCATATTCATTAAAATGTCTCTTAATTAACGTTGGTCAATTTTAATTATTGCTAACATGACACGAACAAACCAATTATTTTAGCAGAATATATGTCACCTAAGTGTCATGTTTGCGAAAAATATAACAAAAAGAAAACAAAAATCTATTTTAGAGTAAATTATTGAAGTATAAAATATAATATGTTTCAAATAATTTTTTTTTTAAAATCCTCATAATTTAAATATTACATGTATTACATTTTCTAGTTGATTAATTAGTTAATGTTTATTTGGTTTAGTTGTGTGCTTATAGTAAATATCACAAGTAAATATCAAATGGAAATTGTTCAAAATTGATTTCGCACCCCTCCATTAACACTTTTTGTTTATTAATGATTTTTAGAATTTGAAATAGAATAAATTAAAAATAAAGATGCACAAAAAAGAGAAAAATGTAAAAAAAAAAATCATTTCCCATGATTCTACGGGAATTGCACAAAAGAAGATGATCTGGTCTCAACGTAAGAGATGATGCATCATCATAGGCATGAGGGATGATCTATTGGACCATTAATATAACAATAGATTAAATTTATCCGGTTCCTCAACTGTCTATCCCAAACTATGCTCTAAGGAATTCTGATGTTGGCAGACATTTACAGTCCAATTACTGTAACTAATATTTGTTCACGTAGTTTGCACATGTTGATGCATTCTTTAAGGGGATCCACAAAATATCGCACATAAGACAAAGTGAAATTTTTTATGTGTACGCTAGACCTGACAATTTATTACACGACCCGTTAACACGACACGTAAACGACACGAAAATAACGGGTTTCAGGTCAACACGATAACTAATCGGGTCATTATCGGGTCACACGATAATAACCCGTTAATAACGGGTCCTTAACAGGTTTACACGAGAGTGACACGCGGGTAACCTGTTTCGACACGATAAGAAAAATGCTATTTTGATGATTTTAATTTTTTAAACTACTAAAAAAAACTTACTATAAAATGCAATAGATATAATAAATATGTATATATTGTTTATTAATTATTATTCTATTATTATTCTATATAAATTTTAAAATTTAAGTTTTATTTATTTATTTATTTTTATAGTATATTATAGGCAAAGATTGAGATTAAAAATCATAAAACACATTAAAAATAAAAATATCAAGTAATTTAAAAATATCTAAAACATAAAAAAATTATAATAATTAATTTACATCCTAATATTTCAAGAGTTTCATCTATTTCCCACCTAATGTTTGAGAAATTTTGCAACCTATATCCATCCATTTCCCGCCTAATGTTTAACCCAAAGAAAAAAAATAACCAGCTTTTTTTTTTTTTTTTTTTTATCTTTGATAACATTTTGACTTGAATAAAAATAAAATACGTAATAAAAAACATAAATGTAATTTTATTATTAATATCATCACATACTAATTGAAACATAGTCTAATTAACACTTAAAATATATAAATAATTAATATATTTATTCCAAGTCATCAAAATGATAAGATTCACTAATGCTTAAAGTTTATTTATACTTTCATTAAGTATAACGTCAATGCGTATCCCATCAAAATGATGAAAGTATGAATAAACTCTTAAGTGTTAGTGAATTTATCGTTTTGACGGGATACGTATCCTACAAAACTAATTTCAACAATCCAACCGTCAAACTTGTTTATACATGCTTCGAGATCGCATACTCCAAATATTGCAAAAAACAAACATTCAGAGATGAAGAAATGAGACAAAAGTTTTCAACGGTTATAAACGAAAAATCACGATTTAACGGTTATTTTAACTCCGATTTTGATGACTTTTTACAGCTACACTCCTTGACCTTATATGAATACAATGAATGAATTCGATCTTCAATTTAAAATATTTACACTAGTGGATACCATAAATCTTATGTTATACTTAATGAAAGTATAAATAAACTCTTTGGGGGCGTTTGTTTGCCCTCACTAAGTTGGACTGGACTGGACTGGACTAGCTATTAGTCCAATACTGTGTTTGTTTCATGCTGGGACTAACGTTAATGAGACTAAAGGGGACTAGCATGGACAAAACCCTTCACTAAGAGGTCTTAGCGAGACCCCCCAATAACCATGGGACTAGCTAAGACTATCCTCTCTTTCTCGTCCTTGTCATGCTCAACGACCATTCTCGACAGACTCCTCGTCATCTCCGGTCACCTAGATCAATCATTAACTTTCCGACTCTCTTTCAGATCCATTTCACAACCAACTTTCATACAAAATATACCAAATTGAAGATGGGAGTGATAAGATTACGATTTTACCTGAATCGAGGCCAAAATGTGGTCGAATGTGGCTGGAAAATGGCCTGGAAGTCTCGGCCTGTTTGGGCTTCTTCAAATCCATGACAGATTCGAGCATTCAAAGCTAAGATCTCGGTCCAGGGATGGTGATGAATTTTTTGGCGGTGCTAACTTCATCCAATTTAACAAGGAAATGGTAGGAAAAAATGAAGAAAAAGATAAGATCATAATAAAATATTAATAATTTATATATTAAATAATATAATATTATAATTTGTGATTATCCAGCTTCTTAGTCCAATACTGCACCAAACGCTTCACTAAGTTAGTCCAGTTTAGTCTAGTCTAAGCCAGTCCAGCTTAGTCCTTGAAGCTAATCCAGTCCGAGATAGTCCGGCGCAACAAACGCCCCCTTTAAGTGTTAGTTAATGTATCGTTTTGATGGGATACGCATCCTATGAAATTAATTTCAATGATCCAACCGTCAAATTTGTTTATACATGCTTCGAGATCGCATACACCAAAAATTGAAAAAAATAAACATTTAGAGATCAAGTAACGAGACAAAACTTTTCGACGGTTATAAACGAAAAATCACGATTTAACGGTTATTTTAACTTTGATTTTGATGATTTTTTACAGCTACACTCCTTGACCTTATATAAATACAATGAATGAATTCGATCTTCAATTTAAAATATTTACACTAGTGGATACCACAAAATCTTATGTTATACTTGATGAAAGTATAAATAAACTCTTAAGTGTTAGTGAATCTATTGTTTTGATGGGATACGCATCTTAGAAACTAATTTCAACGATCCAACTGTCAAACTTGTTTATATATGCTTCAAGATCGCATATGCCAAAAATTGAAAAAAACAAACATTCAGAGATCAAGTAATAAGACAAAACTTTTCAACGGTTATAAACAAAAAATCACGATTTAACGGTTATTTTAACTCTGATTTTGATGATTTTTTTACAGCTACACTCCTTGAACCTAAACAAATACAATGAATGAATTCGATCTTCAATTTAAAATATTTACACTAGTGGATATCACAAAATCTTATGTTATACTTGATGAAAGTATAAATAAACTCTTAAGTGTTAGTGAATCTATCGTTTTGATGTGATATACATCCTACGAAACTAATTTCAACGATCCAACCGTCAAACTTGTTTATATATGCTTCGAGATCGCATACGCCAAAAATTGCAAAAAAATAAACATTCAGAGATCAAGTAATGAGACAAAACTTTTTGACGGTTATAAACGAAAAATTACGATTTAATGGTTATTTTAACTCCGATTTTGATGATTTTTTACAACTACACTCATTGACCCTATATGAATACAATGAATGAATTCGATCTTCAATTTAAAATATTTACACTAGTGGATACCATAAAATCTTATGTTATACTTGATGAAAGTATAAATAAGTGTAGATTTTTAAAAATCTCATGAACAATTTTATTTATTTGAGTGAAAAATTAATAATAATAAGTTTGAAAAATGTAATCACACGTAATGAAAAGCTTTACAACTTTCATTAAGGGATCAACTCCGAAATTTAGTATGTATATACTAATTTAGTATTATGTTTTACATTTTTTTGGGTCAAATTATGTTTTTCTTTTCATTTTTATTGATTTAAAATATAATTTTCTTAACGGGTAACCGGTCGGGTCATATTACCTGATAATATTAACAGGTTGATTTCGGGTCGGGTCATATTACCAGTTTACTTTAACAGGTATTACACGACACGACCCGTTAAGCTATCGGGTATGACACGAAAATGACACGAACACGAGAAATACGACACGAATGCCAGGTCTAGTGTACGCCATAACACAAAGTGATACACTATGTGGTATAATATAAATAGTGTATTGATTCGTATTTCGGCCATATGAAAAAGTCTCTCCAATAGTGATATTATGTACATGATTTTAAATCTAATTTGAGTTATAAAGAAGAAAATTCAAACTTGATTGCTAAGAGGGGCACATTGTCTTGGTTAACTTGTGTAGCACATGTCAAGAAAACTTGTAATAATTTTTTTTATTCAATTGATTTTTTAGTTTAATTTATGATACAAGGAAGAAAATTCAGACTTGGATGTAGAGACGGCCAGGCACATTACCTTAGTCAACTAGTGTAGCACATGTTAAAAAAACAGGTAATGAATTTGATACAAATGTTTGTTTATGTTAAATTTCACTCTGGATAAATGAAAACAATATCAATATAAATATCATTAGTTTGGATTCCATGCAAAAACATTGATTACTCAAGATTTTTAGATTACTCATGAAGATCATAAATGGCCATGGTTTAGTATTATTTTTGTTTAACCCAACTGATTGATGTTGAATTAATAGTAATTTCTTAGTTCTCTTTTTTTTTTCCTGAAGCAGAAGCTCAAATAAGCATTTTAACCTACAAGACGATGGTGTTTTGAAGGGAACGACTAGACAAGTCAAACACCATAACGTATGTGCATGTGTAGCAAAATAATTTTTTTTTTACGATAAAACAAAATCTTCGGATTCTGTCATCGAGAGAGAGAGAGAGAGGAGAGGAGATGTATGAATATATATACCAGCCAAGGCATCAAGTACGGTTGATTTTCCAGAGCCAGAAGGACCCATGAGTGCCATCATCCGGTCAGGCTCAGCGTAGCCACTAATCCCATTTAGCAACTTTCTCGACGTTGCACCATTTTTCAAGTTCGCCACCACCGCCACCGTTGTGTCCTCCCACACCAAATACTTCCCTGCACCTGCACCTGCACCTCCATCTGATCTATTATTATCATTATTCTCTGTCGACCTCTCTGCCATTTTTACACAGTTGTGCTCAATGCTCACTGCAAACTCTAGAAATACTCTTCTCACATTTATAAGCACACCCTAGCCCTAGCGACGGCCGATACACGTTCTCTCATAAAGTAGGATGCTTCAGAACATGGATATGGATGGTATACGGTAGTTTAGCTTACGTTTTCTTTTATCTTGATCATATCTTTAATTTACTCAAATAGTTAAGGTTTCATCTAGGCAATATATACAGAGAGTAGTCCATAAAGAGTAATGGTATGTTTATCACATATTTGTAGCGGCATTTGTATCTTTTCTCTAATAGAGTTAGGGCCAGGCAAAATATGTGAGTCTCATTTCTATTAGAGAAATGGTACAAATATGTAATAAGGGTAGCATTTTTGGTCCAAAAATTTGTAGTAGCCCTTACAAAATTTGGTAAACTTATGATACATCTTTCATTTACATGAAATGACTAGGCCACTCACTACTACGGTCCGGTGGTATTCCTCTTCATTTGTATTTGAGAGGTATTTGGGTCGAATTTCGTAGATGATGAATTCGATATCAAATTAGATTGCACATTATGTGGCTTAGCTGAATTTCTCCCTCCTCTTAATGTAACATATCATTGTACTAAATAAAATGACTAGAATAGTCATGAATTGAGGAAGAGAAATATGGAAAGGGGATATTAGGTTACATATTTTAAGGTGGGACCCACACTACTCTCGATTTTTCCATGTGGTAATGAACGCTGAGAAAGTCATAAAATAGAATGAATTTGATACCGCATATTTTAGTAACACGTGAAAGTTAGGAATCAAATTAATTTCAATTTTCTATTCTCTTCAAGTAAATATGTGGGTTGTTTGACAATCATTTCGCTTTCACTTTTTATTTTCTTTTTTTTATTATTTTAAACGTTCCCTTCATGGCGTTATAGGACTTAGGCTGGGGTTGGGTAGTCGTGGGTACTTTTAATACAAAATGGGTAAAGCCCTATAAAACTTGGCATCGCCATGCATTGGACTGAAGCATAGAGGGCCCATGTCTATTCATACCTCCATGAGTGCAGCACCGTACACTGTATCCTCACTTAATAGCTTTGTTACTTGTTTCGGGTGGTGGATCCTTCATCAGTCTCTCTCATAAATAAAATCCAACTGCACGCTGCTCTCAACTCCCATACTATTCAACTTACAACGTGAACATTCAACTAAAAACCAAGTGAAAAAAATATCGAGAGGAGTTACTGAGTAAAATCATTCAAGCATTCTCTTATGCAATGATTTACTTTCTCGACATTAAATTCGTACTCTCAACGGGCGCACATAAGATAAAGAAATATGAAATTTGAAGTAGAGTTCCAGTAAAGCTCATATGAAATATGAAATATGAGTTTTACTGGGACTTCAAATTAGTATTTTGAAATATCGGTTCTGGTGATGATATATGAAATATGAGATTTGAAGTCCCAGTATTACTCTTGTTTGGCAAACCGTCTGTGTCATTCTTGCATTCAAATGTGCATGCTGACTTCTCAATTTTTGTTTCAATGCATCAGTTTGTGAATACAAGTGGTGCTGGTGGTGGTTGAATCAAGTATCGGTGCTGGTGATGATATTTATGACAACGGCTCAACAGCTGTCATGGGGATGTTGATTGCGATTGCGATTCAGAGCATACACAAAGAAGTGTCCGGGTAAAACGGACCACATGTTCAAGTCTATCTATGTAAAGTTGAAGAAGAGAAATAAAAGCTCGAGGGCCATCATTGTAAAATAAAATGTTTCATGAGGGCGGATTATCATCGAGGATGAAAGCACTCAACTTACCTGACCTAAATAAGGTAAGAAACTTCTTTGATGCCATCAAACGAGCTTCAGACCCCTTATTAGGTATCTTTAAGGCCGTTTGCAGTGCTTCAAACTGCTGCTCTATAAGCATCTCCGAGTCGCCCTCATCTTCTGGGTTGCCATTGAATTCTGACAGTGTCGAATACAGTGCAATTTGCACTTCCGTTACCATATCCTGAAAATCAACATGAACAATACTAGAATTTTAAAAGACATAAAAACATAACAATATATTAGCTCATCACACCGGCGATTCTTATCTAAGCTACACTGAAAAGTGTCAAAAATAAAGTGCAAAGTGATGAGTCACACAGCGCGAATAAATATAAAATGGCTACTGTATGAGTATCAGTGGGTTAGCGGCCAAAGAAACTAAAAGATAAGCTTAACACTCATTTACACTCCTGACAGTACTTACAAATTACAGATTTGAGTTTTAAGGCAAAAAGAATGCTAATTATAATAAAGAAGAACAGAAATACTGCACCTTGTTAATTACTTACAATAGGAATGACAGTCAGACGTCTTTAATACGAAAAATATAGTCTGTCACTTCCCGCTTGAAAGGTCATCAATGAGTTACTCATCCAAGTAACAAGTTAAGGAACACAGTATAGACAAGCCTAGACCTGCCAATTTATTACACGACCCGTTAACACGACACGTAAACGACACGAAAATAACGGGTTTCAGGTCAACACGATAACTAATCGGGTCATTATCGGGTCACACGATAATAACCCGTTAATAACGGGTCCTTAACAGGTTTACACGAGAGTGACACGCGGGTAACCTGTTTCGACACGATAAGAAAAATGCTATTTTGATGATTTTAATTTTTTAAACTACTAAAAAAAACTTACTATAAAATGCAATAGATATAATGAATATGTATATATTGTTTATTAATTATTATTCTATTATTATTCTATATAAATTTTAAAATTTAAGTTTAATTTATTTATTTATTTTTATAGTATATTATAGGCAAAGATTGAGATTAAAAATCATAAAACACATTAAAAATAAAAATATCAAGTAATTTAAAAATACCTAAAACATAAAAAAATTATAATAATTAATTTACCGCCTAATATTTCAAGAGTTTCATCCATTTCCCACCTAATGTTTGAGAAATTTTGCAACCTATATCCATCCATTTCCCGCCTAATGTTTAACCCAAAGAAAAAAAATAACCAGCTTTTTTTTTATTTTTTATCTCTTATAACATTTTAACTTGAATAAAAATAAAATACGTAATAAAAAACATAAATGTAATTTTATTATTAATATCATCACATACTAATTGAAACATAGTCTAATTAACACTTAAAATATATAAATAATTAATATATTTATTCCAAGTCATCAAAACGATAAGATTCACTAACGCTTAAAGTTTATTTATACTTTCATTAAGTATAACATCAATGTGTATCCCATCAGAATGATGAAAGTATGAATAAACTCTTAAGTGTTAGTGAATTTATTGTTTTGACGGGATACGTATCCTACAAAACTAATTTCAACAATCCAACCGTCAAACTTGTTTATACATGCTTCGAGATCGCATACTCCAAAAATTGCAAAAAACAAACATTCAGAGATGAAGAAATGAGACAAAAGTTTTCAACGGTTATAAACGAAAAATCACGATTTAACGGTTATTTTAACTCCGATTTTGATGACTTTTTACAGTTACACTCCTTGACCTTATATGAATACAATGAATGAATTCGATCTTCAATTTAAAATATTTACACTAGTGGATACCACAAAATCTTATGTTATACTTGATGAAAGTATAAATAAACTCTTAAGCGTTAGTGAATCTATTGTTTTGATGGGATACGCATCTTAGAAACTAATTTCAACGATCCAACCGTCAAACTTGTTTATATATGCTTCAAGATCGCATACGCCAAAAATTGAAAAAAACAAACATTCAGAGATCAAGTAATAAGACAAAACTTTTCAACGGTTATAAACAAAAAATCACGATTTAACGGTTATTTTAACTCCGATTTTGATGATTTTTTTACAGCTACACTCCTTGAACCTAAACAAATACAATGAATGAATTCAATCTTCAATTTAAAATATTTACACTAGTGGATATCACAAAATCTTATGTTATACTTAATGAAAGTATAAATAAACTCTTAAGTGTTAGTGAATCTATCGTTTTGATGTGATATGCATCCTATGAAACTAATTTCAACGATCCAACTGTCAAACTTGTTAATATATGCTTCGAGATCGCATACGCCAAAAATTGCAAAAAAACAAACATTCAGAGATCAAGTAATGAGACAAAACTTTTCGACGGTTATAAACGAAAAATTACAATTTAACGGTTATTTTAACTCTGATTTTGATGATTTTTTACAGTTACACTCATTGACCCTATATGAATACAATGAATGAATTCGATCTTCAATTTAAAATATTTACACTAGTGGATACCATAAAATCTTATGTTATACTTGATGAAAGTATAAATAAGTGTAGATTTTTAAAAATCTCATGAACAATTTTATTTATTTGAGTGAAAAATTAATAATAATAAGTTTGAAAAATGTAATCACACGTAATGAAAAGCTTTACAACTTTCATTAAGGGGTCAACTCCGAAATTTAGTATGTATATACTAATTTAGTATTATGTTTTACATTTTTTTGGGTCAAATTATGTTTTTCTTTTCATTTTTATTGATTTAAAATATAATTTTCTTAACGGGTAACGGGTTGGGTCATATTACCTGATAATATTAACAGGTTGATTTCGGGTCGGGTCATATTACCCATTTACTTTAACAGGTATTACACGACACGACCCGTTAAGCTATCGGGTATGACACGAAAATGACATGAACACGAGAAACACGACACGAATGCCAGGTCTAGACAAGCCTATGGAGAACGTGGATTCACCACCAAGCTTCTTGAATGGACACCTTTCTTGCCCCTTACTTACCATGACATCATATCAACCATAGTTATATCGTGTTCTATGTTAGTTATCCTTATTAAGTCAGTCATCTCTTTTCCATATTCATGATTACCCAATCTATTATAAGAAATACCATGCAGATAAAGGGGAAACAAAAAATCCACCACCCAAATACCATTGCGTTAAGCATGTTGGAAGTAAACTTGCCCTTGATTCTCTAATACATGTCTACCTTCTACTAAGCAATCTGAACGTAAGCTGCAAATCCCAAATGGCATGGCATCAACCACCAAGGAGCTTCGACTTGTAATACCAGCATCCGAAATTGACCGTACCTTTACAAATGACATAACCAGAAACCAAAAGAAAAAAAAAATCTCTATTGTGCTAGCATTGGTGACGACTCCAACAAGTAAAGATGGTATCATACATGAATGTGAGAATCCTTTACCTCAGCACTTTAATCCAGGTAAAACGACCAAATAGAGTATTGTCGTGCTCCTATAATGCCTACTTTTAAACAAATTACAGCAATAACATTCATGATGTGATGTGAGACGCCTTTGCTTTAGTACTTAATCTACAATGTGGTTTCTCCAAGTCAGAAAACTAGTACCAGGTTTATGAAATATAAATATAAAAAAAAATCTTTGTTTGTTTCCAGAAAATATGTTCTTCTGTTAGTGTTCAAACAAAGTGACTAAGCATAGGAAGTTCGACGTTATCACCATTAAAACTTGCTCTATGGAAAGACAGACAAGACTACAGTAATCTCTGTTACCTCAATGTACAGCACATCAGACTTATTTGGCACTTTCCTTCTATTAGGTCGAAGGTTCTTAAGACTGTAATCAATTTTGTCTTCGGCTTCATATTGAATCCCTTTCATTCTCCATCTGCCAACAGTGAAAAAACAACTAAAGCTATCAAAGTACAAGTTCATTTTATATTTTCAACGAGCAGGGTACACTAGGGGTGGGTTCGGTTCCGTTCCGTTCGGTTTTTTGCCAAAACCGGAAACCGAACCAAAATTACTGTTTGGATCGGTTCGGTTCGGTTTTTTATCGGTTTGTGTTCGGTTCGGTTTGTATTCGGTTCGATTTTTCTCGGTTCGGTTTCGGCCCGGTTTGGGTTTTTTTTTTTTTTTTTTTTCCCAAGTAGCTTAAAAAAATGGGTAAAGTACAAAAAACTACCTCAACTATTGGGGTCACGACAGTTTCATACCTCATCTTTTAAAATTGACAATGTCATACCGCATGTTACGAATTTGTGACAATGTCATACCTCCGTCAATTTTTCTGTTAGTTTTTCTGTTAAATGCTGACGTGGCAAGAGACGGGGACCACTTTTCTATTAAAATATTAATAAAATATTATTAAAAACTAAAAAAAATATTTAATATTTTTTAAATATTAAAATAATAAATAAAAGTAAAATTAAAAAAAAAAAGGTAAAGTACAAAAAACTACCTCAACTATTAGAATCACGACAGTTTCATACCTCATCTTTTAAAATTGACAATGTCATACTGCATCTTACAAATTTGTGACAATGTCATACCTCCGTCAATTTTTCTGTTAAGTGCTAACGTGGCTTGATTTGGGACATACTTTCTATTAAAAAAATTATTAAAAACTAAAAAACAATTATTTAATATTTTTTTACATATTAAAATAATAATAAAAAGCAGAGAAAAAAAAAACCATCAGTTTGTCCCTCCCCTCCCCCTCCCCCCTCCTCTCTCTTCTCCCCATCTTCATTTTCTTCCCCCCACCTGCAAACCCAAAAAAATAAAAAAAATTTGAAAACCCAACAACCCCCTACAGAAGAACAAGAAGGAGGACGAGGACGAGGAAGAAGAAGAAGATGAGTAAAAAAAAAGGAGGAAGGAAAAAAAAAATATTCCACCTGTCGACGCGGAAGAAGAAGAAGGGACAAGGAGAAGGAGGAAGAAGAAGAAGAGGAAAAAAAAGAGGAAGGAATTTTTTTTATTTTTTATTATAACCATCAACTCCCCTGCGGAAGAAGAAGAAGAAGAAGAAGGAAGAAGAAGAGGAGGAACAAAAAAGAAGGAGAAAAAAAAAAAATTTGAAAACCCATCAAACCCCAAATCCACCACTTTCATCCATTCTCCACATCCTCTTCCGCACCCATCCTCCACCTTCTTTGCACACCCATCCTCCACCTTCTTTGCGCACCCATCTTCCCGCCGACGAGATCTGGCATTTTTTTTTTCTGGGTTGCAGGAGAGAGAAGAGTGTGGGTGTGGGTGTGGGGGGAAGACAAACTGGATTTTTTTTTTTTTTTTTTTTTTTTAATTTTTTGTTGGGATTTGCAGGTGGGGGAAGAAGATGAAGATGGGGAGAGGAGAGAGGAGGGAGCAGTGGGGAGGGGAGGGACGAAATGAGGGTTTTTTTTTTTTTTTTTTCTGCTTTTTATTATTATATTAATATTTAAAAAATATTAAATAATTGTTTTTTAGTTTTTAATAATTTTTTAATAGAAAGTGGGTCACGAATCAAGCCACGTCAGCACAGAAAAATTGACAGAGGTATGCCATTGTCACAAATTCGTAAGATGCGGTATGACATTGTCAATTTTAAAAGATGAGGTATGAAACTGTCGTGACCCCAATAGTTGAGGTAGTTTTTTGTACTTTACCCTTTTTTTTTTAATTTTACTTTTATTTATTATTTTAATATTTAAAAAATATTATATATATTTTTTAGTTTTTAATAATATTTTATTAATTTTTTAATAGAAAGTGGTCCCTGTCTCTTGCCACGTCAGCATTTAACAGAAAAACTAACAGAAAATTTGACGGAGGTATGACATTGACACAAATTCGTAAGATGCGGTATGACATTGTCAATTTTAAAAGATGAGGTATGAAATTGTCATAATCCCAATAGTTAAGGTAGTTTTTTGTACTTTACCCTAAAAAAATTATATGAAAACAACTTGCAGCCATTTTGTAATAAGTCCTATTTCAACATAATCGTCAAAATAAGCATTCCAATTTTCTAATATAATCAAAGACAATGAAAATAAACATTCAATTCAAAGTTCAATTATAATAAAATGTTCCAAAGTCCAAGGTTAAATAAACATCAAAGTTTAAATCTTCCAAAAGTCCAAATTTAAAATAAACATCAAAGTTCAAGTATTCCACATCTAAAATAAACATTCCAAAGTTCAAGTCTTCCACACCTAATATAACATTTTTTATGTGCTGAAGTGATTTTGGAAGGTGCCCCACAATGAGAGTGATCCACGTACTTTTTCAATGACAATTTGCTTGCTAACGCTTGGGTCGTCTAGGGGGCAACATATCACCTATTTTTGAACTTCCACTTGCCATTTCTACATACAAATAATAAAAAAAAAATACTAATTAAAATGTTATTTAAAATAATCTAACAAAATCAAATGCAATAAATAAAATTACCTTTCTCAACTTCTTCACAAAACTCCATCTCCTCAATGGTTGGCTCATGATGTAATGCAACATGAATGGACCTAAGCCAATTTTGAGTACATATCAAAGCCTCCACCATTTTTTGACTTAAAGAACTACGATATAGATCAATTATCCGTCCACTTCTACTAAAGGAGGATTCCAAAGCAATGGTTAATACAAGAATAACTAAGATTCATATTATTCATTGTATGATTGAATTTCTTTGTTACTATGTCAGATTTACAATGCTCGTTGATGATCTTTGCTTTGCTATTGTCTCATAGCAAATATGAAAAAATAAAATAAAATTTAGCTGAAATCCCGACACCTTTTTCTTTGTTTAGCAAAATCAATCCCGAATCTAAATCAAACAATCCCACCAATTTATATTTATGTCAAAAAAATTATATTTAATGAGGTTTTAAAGATTATACGGACATTAAAAGCAATGGAAGGGTAAAATTAATAACTACACTAAGAAAATGAGAATAGATAAATAAAATATGTAAAAGGAACGTAAATTGAAAATTTAGAAGTGCCAATAACGCTTCCTAATTTTATTTTGGAAGATGAAATAAAAAAATCTACTCCATTAACCCTGGGAAAAACAGGCTATTGGGTTGGGCCTTTTGGGCTTCCTTTCCACTTAAGTCACTAAGTGACGTAATCTACAACAAATGGGCTTGAGCCTAGTAGATCCAGTTGAACCGGAAACTAATTCGAGGCCCAATTTGGACCTTAAACCTCCGTTATAATTAATTATTTCCTCCCTTGATTAATCTAATTATCATTCCGACACTTTTGTATTCAGCACAAACAAAGATAGGGTGTGTGATCCGTCAGGTACTAGTCAATGAGGTCATGAATTTTGACTTCTCAAATTGTTTAACGAACTAAAAATACTTTTGTTTCACGCTTTTATTGATGATAAATACCTTGAGGGATCTCTAAGATAATGAATGACACCTAACCGTATGCAATAGTTCCAAAATTGATATCAAACGTATTTGGAAACCTATACAATTGCAATCATCTTGCAACACACAACACTCTCAATCACTTTACTAGGGCATGGTTAATAATGTCAAACCCTTATGTGATCTTACTTGTTTACATGAAGCTGTTAAAGCGATTGAAAGTTATACTCCATCATACTCAGTACCCCAGTCGAGGATTTTTTTTTTCATGTTGTAGAGTATTTTGATTCCTTTATAAAGTAAACTAGAGATCCTTTGTAGTGCATCACATTTGATCATGAATAGTTCAATGTCCTGATACATACACTCAATAACTTGTTAGAATGTAATGTATGTCACAAAGTTATATTGTTATCCACACGACAACTATAATGTCTCATGTATGAGGATCAATTTACATTCTTGCAATTAAGAGTCACTTGCTGGACATGTATACTAACTCTATGCAAGTACTTGAGTTGCTCGCGTTCAGTGAACTTGATCTCTAGTTGTCTCAGCAGATCACTGCTGATAGCTTGAGACTTAGCCATGTATACCGTATCATACAATTGGCAATCATAATGTGCACTAGTCTTTCCAGATTATAAATATCCACTTTATAATTCAACAACCAAAATGAGTGTTTAGGATAATCACATATAAGGAGGGTCTCTATAACTTTAGTTACCTCTTACATATGCATTTAAACGTCATCCACACACTCACTATTTGTAATATATGCCCTCAGTTTATCAACATTTTATTGCTTTTATGGCATACATTTAACACCAGTATCTCATTCATGGCTCTTCATTAAAAGTTATTTTACTTGTGGTGCAAGTCTTAAATATATATATCAAATCTAACTAAGCAACAACTCTTCTATTGCCAGGGCCAATAGTAGCAAGCCTACAACATTACAACTCATTAAAAGATCCTGAGGTTTCCTTGTCGCCTCAAGTGGCACTTTGGAAAATCTAAGAGACCGACTATATATCGCAGGGCCATTTGCTCGCCAACATGTAGGCTTTTTATATAGCCTGGTATAGGATTTGTAGGAAAGTTAAGTCAATATACATAGTGTTTTAAGTGTCCCTTTCTAGATTAGTTTAGCAACCATTCAAATTCAATTTCAAATTTACACACATATTTTCCCTTCTACTCCTCACATTTTCTTCTTAAATCTATTGCAATAACTTCTTAAGAACATATGCCATGTGTGACATTTTCTAGTGTTGATATGTTGATATAACAAAGCAATGTACCCCAATTTTTGCACATACCTCTTTCAAGAAAATGATTCTCAAACATACATAATTAAGTTTGTGCTGATGTTGGTGTCAAAACGTAGATAGAGCCCGACTAGGTTCAATGCGTATTTGTCTTGAGTGTTGCTTTCGATCTTGGTGCCGCACAATGGCTTGAGAGAAAGAGAGAAAAGGCCTACCAATGTTGGAGGTTGCCAATATATAGAGTGTGTTTGGATTTGTGTTAGGTTTGCATGTAAATCTAACTTCTTAACCAAATGATTATGCATTGAATGAGATTCTAGTTTAATTAAGTCCTTTTTTATGCCTCGAGCTAACGAGGACTTGACATCCAGTGCGAAATAAGTGTTTGCCTAAGTTGTAAGAAAAAAAGTAGGAGGAATTGAATTGAGGAGGAGTTGGAATGAGAAGAAGTTAGAATCAGATTCTTGTTAAGCTGTTTACTTAAATGTTCTGGAATCGGAATAGAATTCCATAAAGCTGTTTACTAATTCAGCAGAATCAAAATATAAATCAGTATGATTACTAAAATGCCCTTGTCCCAAATCAAATATTTTATATACATTTTTGTTTAATAAAATTTGATATAATATGTAATAGTAAGAAAAAAAAAATTAAATTGTTTTTTTATTTCATAGACACATTAAAATGCTTTCGTTTATTTATTTATTTTTTAAAATTTAAGTATTTACTTTAATATTTTAATTTTCTAGCTCAAATTGTAGTTTCTTCTTTTCGGCATATGCATGGAGTTGTGCATAATGTGAATGAGCATGGAGTTGTGCACAATGTGAATGACTATGAAAATAAAAAAAAAAGTAAGGAGTTGTGCATAATTAAACTAGGATTAATGGGTTTATAAAGGATAGTCTTGGAAATAAAAAAAAAAGCAAGTGAGGGCATGAAGGGAACAAAAGTGTCATTCTGATTGCCCAAGCAATCAGGAATTGAATTACCACTTATATCTAGGGAATCCAATTCCACCGATACAAGGAATTGAATTCCAAAATTTGTGTGGGCCCCACTTCTTTTTTGATTCCTCCATGTTTAGTAAACATTGGAATATTCCGTAATCGGAATTCAATTCCACAATTTCATTCCAATTACAGATACGTAAACACGCCCTGAATGTAATTATTTCATGATGGAATCACGATTACAAATGTTTACAAAAGAGATTCAAGGATGATGAGCAGATCTACATAACTCGAAAGTAAATAGACTTCAAAACGTAAAGAAAACAGTTTACTCCAACAAGGAGGCCGTGAAAGGTAGAATAATGCTAGAAGAGTCCATCAATATCATTGATATCTTTTGACTTGAAACGTTTATTCTCTGCTACCATGTAGTATGATTCGGTTGACAAACATTTCAACCAACCCAGATAACCTCTTTAAGCCAATGCTTTCTATTCAATCCAATATGGGATCGTAGGTTGAGTTTGCTTTGAGGAAAGCTTGGGTCATAGGCTGAGTTTGCTTTGAGGAAAGCTTGTGGTTGTAGTTGAACAGCTGAGACATTTGTTGAAGAGCAATTGGTTTCTGCTAAAGAGCAATTGGGTTTGAAAAATCACTTGAGGTTTGTATAGTGGTAGAGATTGGATTTGAAGAAGGTCCTTGGCCTGAAGGCCTCTAGCTCTATTTATACGCAGCTGGGGAGGAGCATCCTCAATCATATTGCTGAGCTGGAGTAAGAGTAGGTCGGTCTTTTGACGTTGACAATAACTGTAATTCATGGTTGATGGCCTTGTTCTGAAATACATAGCACTTGCATGTTCCTGCGATAACGTCCTCCTGTATGGTAATGAGTTTATTGTCTTTTAAGAAGACAAGATATTTTCGGATCTGGTCGTCCGCCTTGTTTTGAAATACATAGCACTTGCATGTTCCTGCGATAACGTTCTCCTGTATGGTAATGAGTTTATTGTCTTTTAAGAAGACAAGATATTTTCGGATCTGGTCGTCCACGTGACAGATGCGCTTCGGGAAGGAACGAGTCCGAGCCCTTGAGCAGTTCCGACATAGTGATAAAATGTCATTCCAACTTCTAAGAAGTTAGCCTAAGTTTGGCTTTGAAGTAGATGGGCCAGTATCACTGTGTCGCATGACTTCTGAGTATAAAAATAAATTAGCCCCGGAACATGCTTTACTTTATGCCTGCAATTAATGTAATGACATGTTATACATATAAAAGTGAATTGGACAAGTTATGTCTTCTTCTGACGCTGATTATGTAGACATTGAACTCTTTGTGACGAACTTCCAGCTCTAAAAAATTGTTAGGCTACCAATATATAGGCCATGAGTCATGGGGCAACCATTGCCAGTTTGGAACCGTCATACATATTTTAATTGGTCAATATAATTAATTATAGTAATGATGATAATTGAAAAAACGCATGTATTGAGGGAGAAATACTTGATATGAAGTATTGTTTGGCTTCCAAATTGATGGGGACATTGTGGCCTCTCACACAACATATATAATTTGTATTCGACTTTTATCATGCTCGTCACCCTCAGGTCGGTCACTTTCTTGCAGTAAAAAACTGCCATCTCATCCACACCCTTTTGTAATGCTTATCATAGATTCATATGTATCATGCTCCTGAAAACTGGAGTTTACATAAAGGGAAAAGAAATGGAGGTTTCAACATAGGTAATACTATAGAAAACATCTATTTAATCATATGACATGATTATTAATTATTGAATTATTATTTAAATTTTGATTAGCTCGTTTATTTCTTATAGCTGACATAATCCCGCATTTGCAAAATATAGTCTAAAAATGTTAGTGTACTTAACATTACTACGGTTTAGTGGTATTCTTCTTTACTTGTAAGTGAGAGGTCTTGGGTTCGATTTTCACTAAAAACGAATTTGAACCACATTATTGTAGTTCATCGTGAGATTTAACTTACTCGCCTACACTTTTAGTATATATAATATTGTTTGTTCAAAAAGCGAAAAAAAAAAAAACATTATTCTCTGAGAAATGCTAACGAGAATATCTAAAAAGTGGAACTCTTCATGAACTCTCTACCACTTCATATTTTTTGTACAATTCTGTACCAACATATAAAAATATTGTACAAAAAATATAAGATAACAAAAAACCAAGAGAATACCACTTTGAAAAAACCTCCTTAACATTTCTCTTATTTTTTTAGCATATAGAAGATAACTTTCTTTTTTAGTTGTTTACATTACTTTTAGAGGGTGGTTCTCTGTTGTTTTCGAACTTTTGCTGAAACCGATTGCTTTTATTGACTGTAGTGCATGCTGAAATGGTGGTTAGGGTGTTTACGTCGTTCGACGACCATGCATGTTTATATTTTAGTGCTCGGATTTGGTAAAAGTTTTCGTCTTTTCTTTATTTTTGTTTTTATATTTAAATGGGAGGTGAAATGGAAGATGATATGATATAATCTCTTTTTTTTTTTTTTTTTTTTTACTAAATAGAAGTGATAATTAAGAGTGCGAAATCGTTAGGTAACCTGATACTTTTAGGTTAAAGAGTTGGTTTTCTGTTTTTGGTCAGAGGTTGAGGAATTTTTCTAATATTATCGCCGTCAGTTAATTGAGACAGTATGCTTATTCCTTCGTACTAAAGTTCAAAAAAAGAATAGTTTAGTAAAAATGTTAATGAAAACAATTACTATTCATTTAAACTAAGGACCGAAGTAAAAATAAAATAACATAATTATACTCAACACACCGGCCTCTCTGCAACCACCTATAACTCAATAGCGTAGAATCACCTCCAGACCTCCACGTTTCTTCACAGTGCTTGGTTGACTCACTCATCCCCAATGCATTTTACTACACAAATCCCCTTTTAGTTGTAAGTTGAGGTTCATTAATACACATACTCTGCTATTCCTACTTATAATTTTACAAAGAATAAAGTTTTGTTTGGGTGTAGAAAATTAGATTGGAATGAGTAAGACATTGTTAAAGGAAGAAATGAAAATATTGTTTCCAACTTGAAGAAAACTTATTTATTCCTGTCCTTACTAAAACGGCAAGATTTTCTATTTAATTTTTTTATTATTAAAGGGAAAGAGTTCAAAACTATTACAATAATTTAAGAAATGAAGAGTTTTAGACTTGAGATGCATGAGTAGAAACTCAACACTCTATCCATTAAGATATTGAACCATATACCAAAAATTATAAAGATCAGAAGAAAAAAGTTTCCTTCATATGCCTAATCCCTCAAAATGAAAAGTGACCTATACCAAATGACACTTAAATGCATAATAAACTTTTGTGGTTTAA